GATGCTGGAGTTTCTTGGTACTTTGAGAACCATCTGGTCTTGGCCGTGCTCACACTTGTATCTGCATTCAGTGATTAGTCAACTAGAATAGATCTTCCAGCAAATAACTACAAGACTGACCACATGGTAGTTGGACAGGGTTTCAAAGGAGAAACTGATGGAGTGCAAGATGTCTTGAGGTATATAGTCAGAACTGCCATGATATCAATTCTGCCCCGAGTCACAAGGGCAGCACAAGGTTCAAGATGTAAGAAAACATCTTCTTTGTCCTTTTCTAAAACATATGCATTACACCACATACTTATTTGTGGATAGGTGTGCTGAGAACTTTTAAATATCTATTCTCTTAGCAATTTTCTAAAGCCTCCATATCTTGACAAAAGTGAAAAATCACAGTGCAAAAGAAGCAGACACAGAGGGAAATTATGATGGCCATTTCTGTAAACAATGTACCAAAGAAACTTTCCATGATTTGTTAACTGCTGTACTTTAAGCTTTTCGCCTGGCCTTAGATGTTCTTAAAATATTACTTGAATGAATGAATGTATATATGAATTATCTTTTGACTACCCCTAGTCATAGTATGTCCCATAAATTGCCTTCTCTTTGTTGTAAATACTTACATATATAGATGCTTATATTAAAGTCTACTTTGGGTGAATATTTATAATTAGAGTCCAGTATCTGCTGTTCTTTTAAGGTTAAAGTCAATTTTCACAGTCTTAGTTCCTACAAAGTCAGGGTAATTGCTTCTAGAGTCTATTCACATATTATAGACGACTTCCCCTTCAAGGACCTTGGAGGAGTTTCAAAGCACTTTCTCATCAATCTCCACAGCTATTAACAAGATAGGTGGGTCTCATTATGTCTTCCTTTCTTTTTCTTCCTTTCTATGCCTAGTCAGCCTGTTTACCTTTCTGTTTTCAAGGACAAAACCACCTTAGACACCATAGAACTACTGGTTGCCACTTGATGAAAGCACCTTGAAATCTTGGCCTAAGGAACGTTCATTCAGAAAGCCCAGGTCATTGAACAGAAACAGAGGCAGATAGCATTGCAGTGTCCACAACAGCATCATATATTTACATGTCTGCTGACTCTATGTATTTTCCTTTCACTGACATTGCCAAAGAAGCAAAACAGTTTGGAAAAAGAGAAGCATTCTCTGGTTACTTTAGTATCACTGGTTCTCGGAAAATGTATGACCCCCAAACTTCAAATGTTGAAACTGAATCACCAACGGTAGTATTAGCATGTGGGGCATTTAGAAGGTAGCAAATCATGAAGGCAAACTCTTCCCAAATAGGACTAATGCCCTTATAAAATAGTCCCCAGAGAGCATTCTTAGCCCTTCTTCCATGTGAAGTTATAGGAAAAAGATGTCTGTCTATGAGCTAGGAAACAAGTTCTCAGGAGACACTGAACTTGGTGCCTTGCATCTCCCAGCCTCTTGTACTGTAAGAAGCAAATCTCTGTTATTCATAACCTCCTCAGTTCTTTAGGTGTTTTGTTATAGCAGCCCATACAGACTGAGGCTCTCGTGGATAGTCTAAATGAGGATTATTGATAAGTCAACTTGGTTACTTCACTCTCAGCTTACCTGAATGGACAGATTCAGCACTTAAGCTTTTTGTGTTCTTCCTAACACACTGCCTAATATGGCATTTTATTATATATATATATAAAACTTTTTTATTTTATGTGTATGAGTGTGTTGCCTGCATGTGTGTGTGCACATGTGTCGTGCAATGCCTGAAGAAGTCAGAAGAGGGTGTTGCCTAGAAGAGTAGCCAGTGCTCTTCACTGCTAAGCCATCTCTCTAGTTCCCTAATATTATGTTCTAGAATTACTATTCCTGAGAGATTTTTTTCCCCTTGGAATTGTGCCCTTTTAAAAAATGACTAACATGCTCTCCTGTTAAGAGTTACAATAATCAGAGAATTGATCCAACCACTGTTCTGGTTGGTAGCACACCTCAAGTACACATTCAAGCAGCAGATTGTTCAAAGCTGTGACATCAATCAATTCCTTTTCCAACAGGCTGCTGCCATCTGGTCTGGATCTTTTCACAGAGAACAAAGCCTTTTCACATTCACAGATAAAGCTATGAAAGGTAACACCCATACAAGAAGCAACCCAGACTTTCCTTCTGTCACTCATCTAAATCTCTCTGGGTTAGAAGCCTGATCAGGATCTCCAGCTCTCTCTCTTTTCATAAACACCAGGTTCTGGCAGTTCTTTCTTTGATGCATTTTTCATGGTCATACTTGTTTTTGAATCCTACCAGTCTTTCTCCACTGGTCTTTATTGCTTCACACCTGCATCACTGAAATCCTCTCCGAGCAGGACATTTCTTTCGTTAGTGGTCTCAATGATCAAACCTATAGATTTTATCTTTTGAACCTGTATTTAAGTGCCTCTACATGTGATCTCTAGAATCTTTCCCCATATTCACGCACTAATTTGTAAATGTGTTCTAGTTCTAAAATGCCCTATTTGGCATTTTTTAACAGGATTTAAATGGCATATTATGTATGAAAAATCACTTGGCAGAATTAAAAACATCATATGCCAGGTGTGGTGGCGCACGCCTTTAATCCTAGCACTCGGGAGGCAGAGGCAGGCAGATCCCTGTGAGTTCAAGGCCAGCCTGGTCTCTATAGTGAATCCAGGACAGCTGGGGCTACAGGGAGACCCTGTCTCAGAAAGAAAAAAATTATATATATGCTAATCACTTTATCATGTGGCAACCTTGTTGCCACCATTCCTGTCCTTATTCTACTCAAAACATTTTCCTTTTATCTACTTCCCCTAGCCTCACCCTTTGGCTTCAGACCATCTTCTCCCTTTCTCCTCATGGGCCCTTCAGATTGTTGAACAGAAGTTTTTCTGCCTTATTGTTTATGATCAACTCCTGAATAATCAACCCTGGTTGTTAATCAACTTTGAGCAATCCATTTGAAAATGTCATTGCAGGTGCCTATTTGTCAGTCAGCAGATGTCAGATTCTCTTTTGTCACCTCTTAAAGAATATATGGCTTTACATACCACCTCCCATCTACCCAGAACTCAATCCTGGATGGAGTTTTCCTTACCCATTCTTGCTGGATCACCCCACCCTGCAGTGTTCTCTGAATGTCCTCTGAATGATTATAAAGTCAAACTACTATGATTAACCATGCTTATAGGATACTTTAAAAAAAAATCTTTCCTGAGTAGATATGTAATCATAATAGCTCATTTTTACATACTAAAAATAGGCTGAAAATTCCCTCAGGGTGACAGAAGCTAAATTATTTTGTAATCCCACATTATCAAACAGTGGCTACTGCATTGGTGGTTCTTGTTAGTCACACTAGAAGTAACTGAAAACAATACCCTCTCTGAGTTATTCTATTAATAGAGGTCCAGTAGAAAGGATGGTCTGCAGAAAACAGAACATTTTTGTCTCTTTGGCAGAAGTGAAGGCAGTGCATGTGCATAGCATTTGTTGGCATGTGCCTTTAATCCCAGCACTCAGGAGGGAAAAGCAGGTGGATCTGCCTAGACTGCTAAGTTCTAGGCCAGCTGGAGTTACAGAAGGATCCTGTCTCAAAACAAAACAAAACAAAAAACTCACTGGTGGGGAGGGGGGAGAGATGACTCAGCAATTTAGAGCACTGGCTGCTCTTGTAGAGAACCCAGGTTCAGTTCCCAGGACCTACATTGTGACTAACAACTGTCCTTAGCTCCAGTTTCAGGGGATCCAATGCCCTCTTCTGGTCTCCATGGACATTCCTTCACATGGGTGCACTTACATTCCTATAGGTAAAACATTCACACACATAAAATAAAATATAAAATACAATAAAATAATAAAATAAAATAAAATTTTAAAAAATGAAATTTAAAAAAAAATAAAGAAATGCCACAGAGTTTTTATGTCTCAAGTCCTCCAATTTTACTCACATCATTAAGATGATGGGTGTGTACATACATCCAGGCCATGCATAGCTTCTGAGTGTTTTCTGGTGAGGCCGTAATAGCTCTGATCTTTCTTTACCCTTTAGGTTAACCATGGTTTAACTCTAGTCATAATTCTGGGGCTAGAATATGGTAGAATTAACAGATACAATAGAAACAAGAAATGTTCCTGATTACTCCAGTTGGGAGAAAAGAGCATAAGGATTCTTTTAACACAGTGGTAAGTCTTACATCTGGAACCTCACTATCAAATGTGACCTAGCAGAAAAGAAAATGCCCCTTCACTCTTCTTTGAGGCAACAATCCCAAACAATGAGCAACTTCCTTGGAAACCAGTGTTCATTTCCTTCTAGTTGAATGTTACAGAGGAGACAGAGAAGGGAGGGTCTCAGCTCTGCTCACTGTTTTAAAATGACTTTCTTCCTTCTTATTCCCCTTACCCTGTCCATGCTGCTGAGGCAGATGCCAAAAGCTTATTGCAGATGCCAGTGAAGAAAAAGTGTGGTTTCTTGCTTAACCCATGAGATCTAATATTCTTTCCAAAATTTAATTTTAAAATGAGGGGGAAAAAGGAAGGGAGGGAGGGGGAGAGGGAGAGAGAAATCACTTACCTCAAACGTTTTGGAGTTAAACTTAAATATTTCTCTAAGTGTCAAATTCCTTATCTGAACTTAGCATGGTGGCATATGTCTTTAGTCTCAGCACTTGGGAGACAGAGGCAGGTAGATCTCTGTGAGGTTGAGGCCAGCCTGGGATACATAGCAAGTTCTAGGACAGCCAGGGCTACATAGTAAAACAGTGTCTCAAAAGAATTTTTTAAAGCTCTTACCTGAATAGCAGGATCATCTAATAACTGTATTTCATTTCTGTCTTTCCATTATAATGATTAACAAAAATGAAGATTCTGATTAAATAAAAATGCATAGGTTACCAGTATTAGTTTATTATAGCATTGCCATTATTAAAGTCCTTTATTTTCACAAGGAAAACTGAAGGCTAATTTTGATGCATAAATATTTTACCTTAATATGAGTATATTAAAATAAAACAATCAAATGTTCTTTAGAGCTGTGCATCTTTTATTTTTGCACTTTTTTCTCTAATTTCTCTATTGCTTGGCAATTATATTCCAGTTGAATGTCTTTTTCCGGTCTTTTTTAAAGTCTCCTCAAAAGAGCAGTAACAAATGTCCCCAGATCATACAATCCTGTGAAATAAATACAAGGAAATGTAACTCTGTTTCCAATATGAAATTCAAAATTTGGGGATTGATTTATTGCAAATAAAGAATTTGTTTTAAAAAGAGTAAAATATACAGAAGTTTGCTTATATAGTTCTATTTAGTTATTGTGAGGGGGGGAAGAACTGAATTTATAGGTTAAGTACTAACTGTATTGGGGAAGTCCACAGTATCTTCTCCATAGAACCCCCCCCCCACCATTCACCATTCTTTCAAATGCACAAACAACAGGCTTAAAATTAAAAAATAAATAAGTAAATAAATGTTCCTAAACTTTTCCTGTTCAAATGGGATATGATACACATACTCAGCTTAAAGACACCAAATGGAGGCTTTGTTCAGTTTGGCAAACAACACAGTGGCTTCACATAACAGCTGTCCTTTCACCTTCTTATTATAAACACAAGGAAACATCTCACTGGCAACTTTTGTAATCTTTAAAAATGCAACACAGTTCTCAAAACAGCAGATGCAAACATTGAAGGCAGGGGTCACAAGACGACTTTGTGTAATTATTGAAAAATAAAACCATCGTTCACCAGAAAATTCAAGTCTCAGATCTAACAAAAAACTCTTGATACCCTCTTACACAGTTGGAAATTCACATTCAAATGAAGCACCAAAATCACTTCCCTTTCTGTGGGCAGCAAAAACAAAGAGGAAGAGACTATTGTACAACTGCAAAGGACACAAAGATGGTTTCCCTTAGAACTCTGGAGCAGAACTACCAGGGAGCAAATTAATCTTTTACAAGATTCTGAGGTCCCAATTCTGTCTCTGAGATCCAAAAGCTAGATAGTGTCAAGGTGGTCAAACCCTTTCCAGGGACAGCCCAGAGTTCCACTAACTTTGTGTGCGTCCAAGATATCCATAGAGCCAATCTAAGCAGTGCTATGACATGCTAAACAAAGCTATTCCTTCATCAAAAAAGGGCCAGAGGGTGGATTGAGAGAGTGCATCCTACAGGTAAAACTGCCCTTTAGGTTCTACAGGAAACCCCCACTTGATTTGGATGCACTGGGGAGACTTTTTCCTTTCGGCCTCTGCTCCTTGTCTCACCACCACCACCACCACCAGCGCCCCCCCCCCCCGAGGTTTCTGGGTATCTGGTTCCAAGAGTTCGGCTGAAATGAATGCCTCCCAGGGTCCGCAAACTCAACTTTCTGCCCTTGCTTCAGCGCTTCCCAGGCGGAGACGCTTCAATGCTTCCTAGGTGTAGACCTGGTAACCTGGATGCAGCAACCTGGTGGTGCGCTAGCAGACTCCCCAAGACTAGGAGGCGCGAGATTGCTCCGCCCCCGCTTCGTGTCCCCAGTGTGCACTCCGCGGCTGGCGGGCGCCTCCCGCAGTAGACAAGTGGCCACGCCAGAACTTATGCAAAGGGCTGCAACCTATACAAACGAAAGTCTGTTTACCAAATTGTCAGTGTCTTTGGCGAGTTCTGATTCCGAAGCAGGAGCAGGTCCGCCTGCCTTCCTGGCTTTTCCCCACTGACCCAACCTTGTATTCACAAGTCCACTCTAAGAGATACCTTCTCACAACTTCTTTTTGAATCCAAGAAAACACAGTAAGTGGGGGCTGTGCACAGGAGAGTCTGAGAGTCTGTGCAGGAAAGTGAGACTTTCCTAGGTACCTTCTGGAAAAGTACCTCCTACAGCTTTTCCAGGCGAGATATGAGTGCATGGGAACCCGAGTCAGCAGAGAGATCAGAAGGAAAAGAAGAGTAGACTTTTCTAGGGCAAGAAGGAGGACGAGAGAGCATAGTCTTGAACCTCAAAGTCAAAGTTCTAGAAGTGGGCGGGTCTGGCAGTCCTAGTAGTCGCAGAGAGTATGGGTGCAGTTTATCTTTCTGTTTGGATTTTCTGCCTTCAACTACTGAGGCGTAAACTTCCATCCCAAAGACTGTTGGGCGGATGGAAGAGAGGGGAGGTACTTGCTGCTATCAAAACTGACACTGGGGTTAAGACTGAGCCAATACCCTTCCTTACAGACTCTGGAGGATTCTTTGGGGTCGCTTTGCTAAAAGCGCCCTCCCCTGGCTACCGGAAAAGAGGGGGCGAGATCTGAAAGCCTTGAACAGAGAAGCTGTTTCAGAGGAAAAGCAAGCTATCTTAGGTGTCGCTTCCAGAGGGGTACCGGGTGTACAGTGAATGGGGCAGGTCCTGTACCCCCAACTCGCCAGTTCCTCCATCATCATCATCATCATCATCCTCGTCGTCGTCGTCAGGTCCTGTACCCCCAACTCGCCAGTTCCTCCATCATCATCATCATCATCATCATCATCATCCTCGTCGTCGTCGTCATCATCATCGGCGGCAGAACTTGCACTTGATGATCTTCTTAAATGCGTTTTGAAAATCCTTGTTGAAGTAAGCATAAATGACTGGGTTGAGCAACGAGTTGGAGTAACCCAGCCAGTTGATTATGGCGCCCAGTAGCGTGGGCATGTGGCAGCTGCTCTCACAGAAGGGCAGGACCAGAGCCACGATGAAAAAGGGCAACCAGCAGAGGATGAAGGTGCCCATGATGATGCCCAGCGTTTTCACTGTCTTCCTCTCCCTGGCCAGGGCCATCTTACGCTTTGCCTCGGCGTTGCGCTCATTTTTTCTCTCCGCACAGGCTGGGGCATAGGGGACAGGCCCCGACTCGCTGGGTAGTGGCAGGTGCTCTTTAGAGGTGCCCACTCGGTGTACCTCAATCACCTCCAGGGCGGCGCCGTCCTCACCCTGCCTCACCGCGCCGTTAACACAAGGAGCCCCGGCGGCCTTGCTCTCCACGCCCCGCCTCCAGTCTCCACTACCTAGCTGGCTGTTTATGCTCTTCCTGGGGGGTGGGGCCGACGAGTTTCCAAGGCGGCTGTCAGCTCCCCTCTTCTCCACCTTCTTGACAGTTTTGCGAATGCGAAAGCGCGCAGCTCTGAAGATGCGGCCGTAGAGAACCAGCATGAGCAGCAGCGGGATGTAAAATGCTCCAAAAGTGGAGTAGATGGTATAGCCATGGTCCTTGCTGATGGTGCACGCATTGGGGTTCGAGCGGTCTTCCGGGGTGCGCCAGCCCAGCATGGGCGGGATGGAGATGAGGAAGCCAATGAGCCAAGTGAGCGAGATCAGCGCAGCGGCGCGCCTGGGCGTCCTCTTGTTCACATAGTCTATGGGGTCGGTGATCGCCCAGTACCTGTCTAGCGCAATGGCACAGAGGTGCAGGATGGACGAAGTGCAGCACAGCACATCCAGAGCGATAAACAAGTCGCAGGTAACCTGGCCCAGAGTCCACTTGTTGAGCACCTGGTACAGAGCGGCCATAGGCAACACCAGCACTGACACCATGAGGTCGGTGACCGCCAAGGAACCGATGAGATAGTTTGCCACATTCTGGAGGGAACGCTCCAGGGCGATGGCAGCCACGACGCAGGCATTGCCAAGCACCGCGCAGAAAATAAGAGTGCCAAGCAGCAGAGAGGTGATCACTTGGTAGCTGAAGGTCACGTCGGAGATACCAGTAACATTGCCGCCTGTCCCGAAAGGCTCCTGGGATGATGTGGTGTTGTTGCCCTGGCCAAGGGTAAACATATCCATGCCTGCCTGCGCACCCGGTGCGGTGGGGGAAGGGAGAGGGAAAGAGCTGCAAGAGGATCTCCCCCGCCCCTCCCCCCTGGGGTCTTCTACCTCTCCCGTGGAGTTTCAGAGAAAGGGGATGCAGGGACTCACAGGAAGTTCTTACAGCTTTGGCGAAGGCATCTCAGAGGAGCTGCTTCTAGGCACTCCCTTGGCTCCCTCGGGTCCTGGGAGCTTAAAGGCTCCAGCTAGGAAACTGTAGTTGGCCTGAGAGCAGCTTCGGAATCTCAGGGTGACCGGACACAGACTGGAACATCTGTCTCAAGCTGTCCATTTCACTTTGTCGCTGCCCAGCTGGCTGCCGGAGCCCAACTCTCCCCGACTAGCAAACAGTCTCCAATCTCAGAAGTATCTGGATTCCAGAAACCCCATCCTCCAGGGTCGTTCTGTGACCCTCCTGTCCTAGTTCCTTCTCTCTCTCCCTCCCTCTTTCTCCTTCTGTCTCAGCTCTTTTACTTTAGTCTCCTTCTCTGCTTCCTCCACTAGCCTTCCCTACTAGTCTCCCTCTTCCTTCTCACCTCTCTTTCTTTATTCCTCGGTGTGTCGCTCAGACAGCTAGTCTCCCTTCCTCCTACGCTACCCCCCCCCCATCTAACACTTCCCCAACCCCGAGTGTCTCCTTCCTCTGGGTCCCCGCCCTCCTCTTCTTCTAGCCAGGCGTCTTTACATTCCAGTCCGGTTTTATGGACAAACTCAGAACTCACTTTACACACCCGATCCGATAGCTGGTCAGACCAATGTTTTAACAGATAAACTCCGCCTCCCACCCAGCCAAACTCAAGGGAGGAAAAAAAAAGAGAAAGGGAAAAAAAAATCCCACTACCTATTCCCTTTTATTTCTGCTAAATTCTTAAATAGAGTTAGGACCCCAGGGTGGTATTGGGAAATAGAAAAGGAAGGTACAGGGAGCCTAAAGGTGGAAAGCCAGGCAGCCCAGGGTCATTCTCTAAATTATTGCTAATTAATGGACAGAAGGAGGAGTGTGTGTGTTAGCTTCCGAAAAACTAATCACATTCGACATCTAACAGTCTAGCCTGACTCCCTCGGGGGAGGGGCGGCATGCCCATGACCCTTTCTTTTCTTAACCTTTTGGATTAGGGGGAAAAATATAACGGACATATTAAAGGACAAGCACATAAACACCTGAATCTCAGAGAGAAGGTAAAAGATACAGATAGGTTAAGTACTTTACACACACACACACACACACACACACACACACACACACTTTTTAACTCACCATTGTCCTTTTCATTTCAAAAGACATGACACCTCCCATAGCTTTGCAGTGAGTAAGTTCTGGGAAAGAAATATTTTGCCTATGCCTTGTAAACGACGGCCTTCGATTTATGGGAACCTTTGCCTCTCTCACCAGAGCCTCCAACCTAGAGAACTTGCTGGCATCCTCCGTAGCTAGCCTCTGTGCTTCTCTCCGAAATTGGGTTCAGCACCCGGGACAGCTCTAAGCAAAAAGGGCTTATGCCGCCACCTTCTGGCAAGTGCTTTAGAGAGCCATCTAGAAATTCTTGCCTTGCATAAATTTAGCAGGTACTAAGGAAGTTCAAAAATCCCAAGAAAAGAGAAGAATACAATAAAAAGAAAAAATGTATCAAGTTTTGTCATTTGAAATATTTTCTTCAACTATTTCATTTTTGCTTTTTTCCTAAATTTCTATACCAAGCCTATTATGTGTTCTAGCTCTTTTTGAAAACCTTGGGTCTCTAACATTCACAAATTCTATAGAAAATGCCTTTTTAATAGACCTAGGTAAGGCTTTCACCTGTTGGTGAAAGCTATACATTTACTATGGCTTTATGCTTCAGAACTCACATATTTTATTAGGGGAAGGAAACAGTATTGTATTTTTCAAAAGAGACAACTTAATATTGAAAATAGGAACTTCTAGGGATTTGTTTTAAACTGTTTTTTTTTTCTTTTCACCAATAAAAGTTCAACCCAAATTGAACACTAGCAAAGAATGGGACTTCTAGTTAATCATAATAAATATATAACACAAAAAATTTATATTAAGATTCTGATTACGTACCTGAAGCTAAGATATACAGAATGCAGCTCCCAGAGCAGCGAATTCTAGATAGCAAGCAGAGATTCACTACAGATCGTGATAGTATCACTATTGTGCTCAAATCTCAGATTTTAATTTCATAGTTTTGAATTCTCCAAGGCCAAACAAAAGAGCAAATCAACAAACATCAAAGAAAATGTAGTTGGACAGATATATACAGGATAGGACAGTGTGTTTGGAGATGGATTGACCTGGACAGAATTTACATTCAATCATTACAACATATACAATAATGAAGCTGCCATTTGTGATGATTCACAACACTGAAAACAGAGATGAGTATGCATACAAATGTATACTACAGACTCAGAAATAGTCTTCATAAGATGTGTGGTGATGAAAATTCTCCTATTAAAAACCCTCACATATATAGAACTAAATACTTTACTAAAATGCAGTTCCAACTATAGAGATTATAAGGAAAATTTTAAAATCTGAATTTTCTAAAGATAAAACTTAAAAAATATAGCTGTCTATAAAGATAATAAAAGTTTACAACCAAAGAGAAGATGTATACATATCAAAAACCTATATGTACAAAATTTGTCAACTTTAGCACATTTAAATATGGAAATTACAAATAAAGCAGCAAATATCTCCTTCAACAACTGTTCTTTCATCTATTGGATTCTAAATAATTTGATAGCTGTCAAACTTATTTTTTCCTTTTCAAGAAATGCTTTAAATCTGGAGTTTAGATTCATGAGATTGGGTAGTTGCTATTTTACTTTAATATGGTACAGTGTAGCAGTTTTGTAATCCATGTTTAGAAAATTCTGAAGTAGCACCTGCTTTTCTTCAGAACTAATATACTTAATGTATCAAATATTTATTTTCTTAAAATTTAAAACGAGATTTGTAGGCACCCTTATGAATACTAGGAAGAAAGTCACAAAGGATATACAGTGCCGTGGTCCTATAGCTTCTAGGTAACTAATAACTATGCATGACTTTTTGTTGAACTAACAACATTGTGATCTATAATAAATGCCAACTACTGTTGCTTTTCTTTATATTCACACAGCAAATTCTTCTATGTCTAACTCTTAAGAAATGCAGAAACTATAATAGAACTGATTAACTGGTGCAAAGTTCTCCAAACAAAGATTAAGCTTATTTTTCAAGGCTTCTGAAGTTAACATAAGGAAAAACTTTCTTTACAATGAATATTAGTAATGATATCATTTACCAACAAAAATATCAGTCATTTTGCTTTCATTTCTTGCTTGAATTTGCTAGAAGCAAGTGTGAAGTTGTTACATTATGGATCTGAGGCATGATATATCATCCATCATGTGGAATTTCTCTAAACTACTTTAAGAGAGATAATTTTTAAGAACATTTTCACAGGAAAATTTGATACAAGCCCAGTTTTTCAATATAGTTCTTTGACCAAGGGTATGAGACAGAAAGATGTTAAATTGAAGCTTTGCTGTAAGTCTTGATTGTAGAATCACTGCTGGAGGCTCAGGCATGGTTGGGACTTTTCAGGAATTGTTCAAATATCATCTCCCAATCATTCTACTATTTTCTATTAAGAAGAGTAGAGCTTGTGTGTTAATTAACTGAAAACTGATTTAGGTGAGTATTTCCTATTAGAAAAGAAAATAGTTTACTTGTTTACTTTTTTAAAACTAGGATAGACTATACTAACCTAAAAATGCTACTATAAATTTGATGCTCCCTGATCCTCAAATACTAAAGCAGTTAGACAATCAGTTTTTCCAGAACTGTGGATTTTGACTGGAAATTAATAGGAAAATTAGACTTAAAGGAAAACTTTTGCTTAAATAATTTAAGAAGTGTGGCCTTCTTGATTATCAATCAAAATTTACAAGAAATTCTATCAAAGACAATAAATTCTTCCTTAAGGCAGAGCAGTTTTTTGTGTCTAATCCCCACCACCATCTTCTTCTAGGGAAGCCATTTCTTCATTGGTGTTTTTTTTCCTTGTCAGGCACTTGTGTGGCCTCAGGAATCAAATGGATGTAATAATACACTTTGAAGATGAATGCTGTAATACACTGTGCTAGCCCAAGATAATCTTCAATAAAAATTTAAAACTAATATTTATAGTGATGCAAAGTAATAATTTGTCTATCTAGTGATAACTTCTCAAGAGTAGAAGAAAAGAATTAGATGGTCATAGTGAAAAAAATAGTGCATTAAAAAAAAAAAGAGCAAAACAAAACACACAGAGCCTGTTCAGGCAAGCATCTATTATGAAGACAACTCTCATATGGATGTTATGTTCTTCCATTCCTTAAAGAATTCGTTAAGTGTCACTGAGAACTATCTGATGAAATCTTTTGCTGTTGCTTTTAACTTCCTAATTTTAAAAGCTTGGAATTTTATGAACATTAATCTTTTACTATTTGAATTAGTGAAAAAAAAATTAGAAGATACAAGCCAAAGTTTTAGTCTAGTTTCATATTCAATTCACTAGTAAACTTGGGTTTGGCTTATAAGTATACTGTGTGAGGCAGGGCCCAATTTAATTTACATTATGAAAATAAAATATGTGGGCTGGAAAGTTAGCTCTATGATTAAGGGTACTTGCTGCTCTTACACAGAACCAGGGATCAATTCTCAGCATCCACATGGTGACTCAGAGTGGTCTGTGACTCTTGTTCCAGATCTGATGCCCTCTTCTGGCCCCCAGGGCTGTATAAGTGGAGAAAGGGACCTAAACAACAGCATACATTCATTGCTCTTTGCTTTCTGATTATGAATACAATGGGACCGGCTGCTTCAAGCTCTTGCCACTTTAACTGAGCTGTCATGATGAATGGTACTTTTGTGCCAAAATATGCTCATTCTCCCTTGAGTTGCTATTGTCAGAGTATTTTACCACAGGAAATGGAAGAGACAGAAGTTGGGGTCAAATTGCTGTGATAAACACGACTATGCGAATTTTAGGCCTTTGAAACTTTGGAATAGGAATGTTTAGTGATTTGTGCTAAGTCATAGCATGCTAAGAAGGCGTGCTTAGGGACCTTTCTAGATGACAAGAAAGGTGAGACAAATGTGGACAGTGGGGATGAGATTATGAATAAAGACTCTGCTAGGAATTAGGCTAGGGACCTTTCATGTGATGTTTTGTGCAAGACTTCATTTGACTTCATTCTATGCTCTGAGTAACGGTGAATTTAAAGATGGAAGATTAGTGTTTCTCTAAATTCTCCCCCTCACAGCCATGTACCCTGAAGCCCCAGGGCTTACAAACTGACATAGGACATTCTGTTTGGATTTTGCGGTTTATATGAAATTTCAGAGGGGATGACTTGTAAAGACATGGATTCTTATAGGCTTTTCCTTTTCCATATTTGAAATGCACAGGCCATCGGCCT